CTGTAAAGAACTCCTCGCTTTAAAATAAACATAGAAAATTCATTTTTCTTTCTACGAAAAAATTCTTTACCTTCCTCTGCATACTTCCGTACTCCATCCAAGGTCTTGTCTTCTTGCTGTGCTCGCTTGATTGTCATATTCAGCATGTTAGAGACTGCCAATACCTTAAGTTCTGGTTGTTTTCTTTCCTTCGTTTGTCTGTCACGTGTCATTACACCACACGTGTGTTTTCCGTAATTATCTCCTAACCTTACGCCTGGTACATTTCCAATTACCAAGTCATGTATAGGATTAGGTATACAAACAGCTTTAGTCGTTCCTGTATAAAAAGGACTCTTAACCGTAATTTCTGCTTCCGGATAACAAAATACATCCGAATTAGCCATCTTGACTACACAGTGTTTACCTGTCAACTTACAATTGGGTACCAAGCTTCTCTTGACCAACACGGTAGTGCAGCCATTGTCCCTCATTACCGTCACTTTATGTCCTTCCACTTCTCCCGGTTTCGTAATTAACTTCGAATGTCTATCTTTTCCTGATCCTCCACAAGCCATCCGAAATCCCTTTCCATTTACCTTAATCCATCCGTGATCGTCAATCACCCCCACCGGGTCGACCTGTACAACTTCCGACGCGTCGTCTTGCGGGTGCTCGGCGATGCTCGGCGCTCCCTGTGATGTTACCGCCGCGGCCTCTTTCCTCGTCGGTCCGGACGTCGCTGACGTGCTTGCAACCTTGCTTTTATTTATATTGGGCCTGAAATAGCAATCCCACGCCTTGTGTCCACCCTTTTGACAGATATAACATTTTACCTGAGGAAGAGGCGAAGATAGTGCCTTACGAGGGCTCCTGTCACTGCCCTCATTTACCTGCCCGAACTGCTGCGCCGACGATTGACTTGACACAGTTGCTTGTTGGGGAGTCCTAAGGGTAAAATGACCATGAGCCTCGATATACCGATCTGCACTCTCTTCAAGATCCTGCAGAGTCGCCAGTGAGCGTTCCTTAAGAAACAATTTTAGATTACGATCACAGGAGGAATAAATTGTTCCCTTATCATCAAGTCTTTCAATGAATTATAGTTAGAGCTACAGTTTTCCATTTCTATCCACCGTTCACACAATTTCGTCATCCTGGCAATTAACTGTTTGGCCGTTTCACCACGAGAAAATCTACAGCTTCTAAACTTAACTCTGAATCCTTCCGCAGTACAGTCAAACCTCTTAGTAAAGCCGATTTCAATTCACTGTAATTCCCTGCATCAGTCTGAGATAGTTGATGGTAGATATCTAATGCTCGTCCCTGGAGTAACGATGCTAAGCTTATAGCCCAAATATCCTCCGGCCAGCCCGCACTAGTGGCAAACCGCTCAAATCTTTGGAGATATGCATCAATGTCATCTCTTCTCTTAAAAAACAGGTAATTTAGGATACCTTACCTTGACATTGTGCTCGCTCTCCGACGATTTATCTTCGCCAGATTCCTTCTTCAGTTCCATTTGACGGAGCTTAATCTCTTCTCTTCTCACCTCTGCTTGCACCTTTGCTTCTTGCGCTTTCAATTCTGCTTGCTTCCATGCTCTTTCTTCCTTTCTCTCCTCTCGAGCGGCAGTTTCTTTCTCCCGCTCATACTGAATTCCTTCTTTAATAAACTGGGCAAGATCCGTTCCCGTTAAGCCGATATCTCTCCCAATTTGATGCAGCTTCTCGGTCTCCATTTTGCTAAAATATGCTACACATGCTCTCTCGTCCCGGTTCGGGCGCCAAAATGTTAAAGGTTCTTGCTCTTAATTAGATGAGACGACTATATGAAGCATGGTATGTAGCAATTTTAGCAGGAATGGAGATAAAACACCGAAGATTAATATTTTCTTTATTAATGTCTTTAAGTATCACTGTCATTCCCGACTGTCTCCCCAAGCGGTTGCCGCAGACACAGCGTACGAGGTCTCGGGTGGTGCAGGCGAATCTTTTGGCGGGATCCGTGACTCGTGACACCAGCGTGAAGGTGGTAGCGTGAAAGAGGCGAGGAATGCGCCACTTCTCCGACGTCACCTCGGCTACGTCACAGACATTCACTCAAACAAAATAATCAAGCATTAAAATACTAATATATTAATTAGTATAAATTGTTAATAATGTTCACCAAATCTGTCGTTCTAAATAATTAACTTAAAAAGTGTCTTAGCACTTAGCTCAGCCATACGCGTAGTTGCGTATATAGTTCGCTCGTTTCAGTCATTTTCGTTCCGTTTTGTTTTGTTTCAAAGTTTATCACTCTTTATCACTTTACTTTAACTAAACGTTCATTCTTTATCAATTTATATTGCAAATATATTTACATATATATATATATATATATATATATATATATATATATATATATATATATATATATATATATATATATGTATATATATATATATATATATATATATATATATATATATATATATATATATATATATATATATATATATATATATATATATATATATATAATATATATATATATATATGTATATATATATATATATATAGTGTATATATATATATATGTATATATATATATATATATATATATATATATATATATATATATATATATACATATATATATATATATATATATATATATATATATGTATATATATATATATATATATATATGTATATATATATATATATATATATATATATTATATATATATATATATATATATATATTATATATATAATATATATAATATATATAATATATATACATATATCATATATATATATATATATATATATATATATATATATATATATATATATATATATATATATATATATATATATATATATATATATATATATATATATATATATATATATATATATATATATATATATTATATATATATATATATATATATATATATTATATATATATATATATATATATATATATATATATATATATATATATATATATATAAATATATATATATATGTATATACATATATATATATATATATATATATATATAATAAGTAGATATACACGGACATTTAGGCTCATCTAGGTCACCAGGTTACATAAGTAGGTTACCAGGAAGTGGCATAATTAGGTCACATACATAATTAGGTTAATGATGTAAATAGGTTATGTAATTACGTGACCTAAATAACAACAACAACAACATCATCTGGTAATTACATGTTGTGGAATGAGAACAGGTGTTATGTAATAAGGCACATGTTATAAATAGTGTAACGTGTTCATGACCTTCACTACAGGTGGATAATGACCTTGTACTGACAGCGACCTGCTCGCCTGGGAAACAACCGACTTTCTACTCAAGGGGACGGGTGTTGGGGTGGGGCGGGCGGGTGTAAATGACCTATCATATAATTACACGTTGGGAAAAGGCAACCCAAGAAATTCCTCGCTCGGATAAAATAATCAATCACAATCTTTTCACCATCTTCTGCTGTACACAATGGCAGATAACCATTAGCGCGCTGAAAACCTGCCTGGGAGCTATACAACTTTCTAATTAATATGGGTAACCGTTCGGTCGCATGGAATAATTATAGGATGAGGGTATTAGTGCTACCCCCAGTCACACAGATAGAATAGTAGTTGTGTAATAGTAGATATCATACACTGTCACCAACAAAGGATTATGAAAACCAAAGTTTTTTGTTTTCTTTTTTTTTTATTTATGCTAAATTACAAAACAAATTATTAATGCTAAAATTACAAAACAAAATTATTAATGCTAAAATTACAAAAAAAAACAAAACAATACAAAACTAAGGGCTGTCCAAAAGTTGACATCAACCGCCTGGGATATTTCATCCACAGGTGGTAGATTCTCCATATTTTGGGTCAGCCCCTTGTTCCAATAGGACAAGGAAAGCTTCCTAGGTTTAATCCTCTTTAACGGAGGAGGACGCGAGGACCTGGGTGTCTGTTGCGACGGAGCATAAACTGACGAGCCAATGTTTATACTCCCCGACAAAACCCCCGCTTGCTGTGACGGGTCGTACATTGGCGAGGGCATGTTTACACGCCCCGACAAACACCCTGCTTGTGATGTTACAGGGGACTGTTGGGTGTACTTCGGGGATGCCTCGCTGCCCCACTTGATAGTCGATGCCAGAGGAGACCCCTGGCTGTATTGGGGCACTGGGGATGCCCTCGGGCCAACAAACGTCACAACCCCAGGGCGAACCGACGACCGAACAGACGCCGACCCATCCCGTGCCGGGCTCTCTTCACGAGAACGCTTCCTCGGTGGTGGCGGCTGGCTCATCTCAACGTTCTTAATGGGGCTTGGAGAACGTGCAGGTTACGAGGGTGAGGGGATCCCGACTCGTCGCCAGCAAAGACGAAATAGACCCCTTTGGTCTGATTCAGAGCTGCAACATAAAGAAAGGAACATTAGAACCTCAAAAGCTAATACTTGTTATAAATAAAAGACAATGCTGCCCTGAAATAGATTAGTTATAATATCAGAACGTGTTCAGAATATATTCTCGGTTAACAGAAACTATCAGCTGATATGAATACCAGAGATCGCACATCATAAAAAAAGCATAATCTTAATGGTGAAACAGTTAATATCAGATCATGTCCCAAATATACTCACCGTTAACCGCAGACATCAACTTTTCCTCCCGCGTTGCTATAAACACCAAAGGAAGCTTACTCTCCTTAATAGCTGAAAAGAGAGAAACATAAATAATATACAAAATATCGCAGGCAATAGAAATGTTCAGCCTTAAAATAAGACTACAACAAGACTACAACACAGAAATTACCTGCCCTTCTTAAAATAATACAAAGATAAACATCAAGACTACAACACAGAAATTACCCGTCCTTCTTAAAATAATACAAAGATAAACATCAAGAAACACAGGAATTACTTACCCTTGTCAAAACATGTTGCAATGACGGAATTCATGGCGGTGGTGAGGGTCTATCTTGCTCTGAGAAAAAGCAGAGTATGGATATTGTTCGATTCAGCCGGTCGGGTTTTATACACCCCGAACGCATCTATTCCTGGTTCCCTCTCAACAGGAAAAACGTAAAAAATCGAGACGAGGGGGAAAAACGGGAGGGAAATTACCGCGAGAAAGATCTGGTAATTAACACGCTTTCGCAATACGTTTTTGGCAATAGTCTTTCACATCTCGGCATCTTAAAATGTCTATATAAAAACTTGATTACCTTCTTATCATTATATCTAAAGTCATTCTTCGAAAAATACCTGCACAATATTTGATTAATGTTTTCTACCCCGTGTAAATTTATATTGAACATAACAAAAATGACGTAAGCTCCGCATGTCAAACTATCAAGACTCTGCAACGGCTTGCTAATATTGAGAAAACTCTTTTCGTAATATTGATCGATGAAAGCCTGCAACCACGGAGAATAAATATGCGGTTGAATTCCATAAGAATCAAAATAGGCAATACTTGATCTTCCATTCACAACTAAAACATAATGTCCCATCTCTGATGGTCTGTGTCGAGATGTAAGAATGTTAACTACAAAGAACTCATTATAAGCACCGCGATATTTTCTTACAGGCAACTGATCCGCTAGATAGCACCCTCGTAAAACAAACCCTCTCCCGAGAAATTGCGAGCATATATCGCCCACCTCATAACAATTCATTATGCTCTAATATCAGTTACTACCCTGCGCTCGTTATCGATATAAATCACTCCTTGTGTGTCACCCACCAAGAATAAAACAATATTTGAAGTAGGCGGTTGCGATAGTTCAACACCAATCCTAAGACTTCCGGAATTCTCTATTGCTAATGCATCCTGCAGTTTTTCTGGTTGTAAGTCCATGACTGCGATCATTTTCCCGTTTACAAATCCATTCTTGGTGAGTGAATGTCCTATTTCTAAACCCAATGCATTCAGCGAATGATAATACAAGTCTGAGTACTGTGTTGGGAAACTCGTGCTTATATTATACACAGATGTGTATTGACGGTCACCAAAAGTTTGCTCAGATGATTATGTCCAAAATGAAGCGGGTTGATTGTATAATCTCCGGCGTATGCTTTCATGTCTACCATAAATAAGAATAACTTTTCAGGAATAGTTGAACTCCAGGGCATGTCTATTGCCAGCTGTGTCTGATTACTAGCCATGACATAGGTTTTGTAGTGTCTTCTTAAACACATAGCTGAGAGGACTGCGTTGTAAAGATCTGTTAAGTGCTTCTCTTGCTGCATCTCTGGGTTTCAACGTGGTAAGATGCAGTTTGCACGAATCGATATTTACAACCGGTTTATGGGTTGAAGTGTCGGGGGTTGCATTGACAACAAACTTGTCTGTAGCAAACTCGAGTCGAATTCGCATGGATACGTTATCCAAAAGATACATATCCATTGAAGCTATATCCATCAATAACGGAGACATAAAATGAAATCCATGAGTCTTTACTTCGTTCATTAATTCTTTCTCGCTAGCACTACATTTGGTAAAATATTCGTTTGTAAAATTCGGCGGAATCTTAGAGGGTTCAAAATACTGCATATTTCTCCCTAGAGTTTCTTTTAGCGATGGTGACATGTTCGTTACTAAACGCATATACGAAGAGAAATTATAGCGGATTTTGCTCTACTTGTTGCCCATTAAAGTACACCGATACAGACTTGATTAGCGAGTGCATGGCAGAATTGCATAATTCTGCATGATCATCATCCCCTAGCGAACTTCCGTCATTTTTCTTCAGGGTTCCCTTGAGCTCTAGTACTACTCGAGACAGATCAATATAACAATTTTGCCCCGCGGGCCACCTGAACTCGGCATAATTATCCGTAATCGACCCGTTTATCCCCGCATTGAACGGTAACAAATCAACTTCTGTCTTTTCCTCTATTGCTGATTCGATTATGTGCATTCTGTTTGTTCGGGGGAACATATCGCTCACCCCGGCAACATATGATGAGACAGGTGTCTTGTACTGATTCATTGTCTTTACTCGTAATACCGAGCTCCTCTCCACACTAGTATTTGCGCACAGAGGCAAGGCAGGACTATAACTGACTATACCAGGGAAAACACATCTGTTTTATAGCTTGAACAACTAGGTCGGCCCCTTAATCTCTTTACTCTCTTATGTTTCTGCCTGCTCCCCCTCCTCTCATCGCCCTGGCCCCCACCTGTTTGATTGCCTCGATGCCTCTTCTTTCATAGAAGACTTTAGATTGGTCTTCCCCTCTCGCATATCATCAATAACACCCGAGCCAAAATCCAAGAGCGCAGGCTTCACAAGCCGAGAAACAAACGGGATTAATCTCTTGCCGATTACCAAGAAAGGAGAACAGACCCGCCCCTTCGATAGTGGTCATAGCTATTATATACACCGATATTGCTTAAAGACCCCCCTCGAACAGGTTTCAACAATGCTTCCGGGTTCTCAAAAATCGTTCTAAAACTCCTCTGACGTAGGAGGGACAAAAGACGACCTTGCATACATGGCGATTATTGCATGTCTTCTTTGCTAATAACAACCAAACAAGTCGGAACGACGTCCTGTTGTAAAGTAAGCAAAGACACCCAGGCGCAGTGTTTATATATGCTGGATTTAGCGAGGTCTAAGTAACCGATTGGTTCTCGTCAAACACCAAAGGATATCCGTTCTGATCTGTGATGCGCACACCTACAGAATTTATGCTCTTGCTTAAGAGTTGTTTATATAGAGGAGGTGTACACCCCTTTGCACTCGTTCCCTGCCATGCAAAAGCATCAAGCATATTAACTTGTTGACCTGCAAATCGACAGGGTGTAACAATATCCGAATATATATATAAGAAATCGACATCGCCGTCTGTTCTTGGCGATCTGGCGCCTATATTATTATTATATAAATTCAACTTTTCACGAACAGAAGGCGGGTGAGAAACATAAAAGCGATAGATTTTATTTTCGTCAAACCCGAGCATGCGACACATGCGACGCGAAAAATAAACTCCCATATCGGGGCGGCAGCGGTCACGGCTGATCTCACCCTCGCTCCCTCCCCCGCCATAGAATGAGGTCTCGACGTGGCAACGATCTGCGTCCCAGTCGTAAGCTAATAACCTCCCATTTGGTATGTACTTCTTAATTGCATCTTTACCAAGTATTTCCTCTGTTTGGGCTATGATATCATCATTTATTAAATCTAACAACGTTTGCACACCTCTCATCTGGCCTAACATGCTAAATTTTGGAACATATTTTACCACATTTTGTCTGAGAATATGTGGTTCTATATCACATGTGTACACAAGATGAATAGCAAAATCCTCATCATTTGCCAAGATGCAAAAAGTTGACCAGTGCAACCTCATAATCCAAGGTAGAATCCAACATTAAAGGAGCTATAACATTTTCAAAGGCATGGGAAGTATTATGAGGAAAAACCTCCTTCGAAGCACCGCTTGTAATGTATAAATATTGGTTATCAGTCTCCATGGTGAATGTTGGAGAACAACTGAGACCGCCTTTGTTGATCTCTTAATTTTATAGTCATGAGTGTAGAGGTTAATAAAAGTGAGAATACACACAACTTAGTTTATTAATTACACAAAATATATTATATATATATATATATATATATATATATATATATATATATATATATATATATTATACCATCACAAATAACAGACAAATAAGAACAATTAGTTGTCCTCTTCCAACTTCCGACGCTTTGCTGGTCTCATCTGCAGGCGACCACCGTCTTCTGCATTCGTCAGCGCCGGTGTTGACATCGTCCGCATCACCATCTACACGCGACGGTCCTCGGCTTCATCCCTCGACGAACGACGCAGGTGCTGCGCATTACAGATGTTCGACTCCGGTTGAATGCGCGAGTTCTGGTTTATTAACACAACAGGAATCTTTAGAGGCATACAGCGCATGGCAAAATTTTGAATGGGTACAACGTATGAATTGCACCAGCTACCCTTCTTCAACAGGAAATAAAATTTCATTAATGTTCATATCTTTCAGCTGCGCAAACAAAAAACCAAGACATTCATCCAGCTTTTTCAGGCGGTCGTCCAAATTATCACTTGTTAACCCGCTCACGTAATGTTTGTCCGTGCTAGATCTTAATTGTTTCATGGCAATTTCATTGTTCTCCAACGATTTGCCTGGTCCGAAATGAGCAATCAGATATATAATTGTAGGTCCCACATCACCGCTCCTCACGACGATGGATCCCGTACGATCGCGGTCAGCTGTGATTGCCCTTGACGTAGAAAACATCCGCCTCCGGCATCTGTAGAGATCAGCGTGTGCGTACTCTCTTTCCAGCACGCCAGAGGTTGCGTAAGCGGTCTTTCCACATGCATTGGCTACAACACAAACTGCAGTTTCTTTATTCAGATCCGGGCGAATAATAACACCCTGGCGCATGACCAGAGGATACATACGGCTGGGCTCGGTTCACTGTGATAGCTGCATCCATCGAAGTTTCAAGGGTCCTTTCTCTCTCCTCTGCGCTCATCCTCAAAGTCGTTTCTTGGGACATTTTTGCGTGTTCACACACCACAGTGTCTGTCGAAGTAGTGCATTCCCTCAGCTCTTCCAACCTCGCTTTATATCGCAAACATCCCCCCGCCCCCCATACATGTTTCACCTGGCAGTTTAGTCACAAGTCGGTAACCCATTTCAAAACCGATAGTCTGTCGATTATACAGACAAGCAAGTCTGCGATATTTACCAATAGCACGAATTGTTTCTTCTTGTGATGCGTGGCTCAGGTCTTCCATTGCATCGTCGGCATCTTGGCGGTATGCTTGGTCCGATTGATTTGCAAGAAAGGCTTGGTAGGTCTCCCACAACGATACGATAATATCATGTTTGTACTGCGAGCGGTAAAATCGTATCATTTCTTTTCGCAGTTCGACAGCGAGAGCGCGCGTCGATGCATTATTATCACCAACCGCGTTAACATCGTCGGTGCTGGTTGTGACGGCGCT